CTGTTGGACTCCTGCCCATTACTCAGTACATCGGTGCAGCCCACATGAGTACCTTTCTGCCCTGGTTTCCTTGACCTCTCTGGTCACTGCAGCGGACTGGATCTTAGCCCACTCAGCTGGGACCCACATACGCTGCCGAGCTCCTGGCTGTGCCCCGGGGCTGGAGGCTTTTCTAGTCCAGGAAACCAGCCGTTCAGAGCCTGGTGAGCAACAGCGTGATGCCTGTGTCCCTGACCTTCCTCCACAGCCCAGTCTACAGGACCTGCTGGAAGACGTGTTAGCCCCGATGCCGCCCAGGCTCCTTTAAGACTGCCCCATCTCCCTCTCGGTGAGGCGGTCCCCTGCGCGCACCACACCCCTCACAGCCATCTGTAGACAGGTGCATAGGGGAACAGTAATTTAAGCCATGTGGCTTTTCCAAAATGACATGAGAGAGAGAGAGATGATAAAACATACATAGACTCATCTCCTTTCTGTGATTCATTTTATATCCATATGAGAAAACACGAGCATCATCAGAGTGTGCCACTTCACGTCAGCTAACTCATTCATGAAACCGTGCCTGATGGCTCACGAAAGTATGCTTCAGTGATCAGAAATGAAACCACTTTGGTAATAAAAATAGCAACAAAGCAACCACTGAAATGTATACAGTACTTTGCAGGTTGCTATTCATCCTCTTACTTGAGGTGTCATAAATGTACACGTCTTTAATTGTCCAGCCGGCTGTGTAGGGCTGGGAGCTGTTGATGCTCTTTTTGCTCAAATAGAATTAGGGGCAATTTCAAATGGCACCGAGGGAGTAGGCTTGGAGTTGTTCCACTCAGAGATAAAAGGGTAGTGTTTTGTTTGATAGTGTGATGTTCTTGGAGTGAGTATACTATTACAGATCATAGCTGGTTGCGCTCTGTCTCTGCCAATGCCAGAACAATAAAAGTCCAAAACGTGGAGAATGTTGTTTATATGTAAGAGAAGCATTTCCTGAGCAAGATGTTGGGTTTGTTTATATGACTAGATTGCAATTTTTATAATAATTCCTTTTTTTTTGAAAGGACTCTTTCTCCTTTTTCTTGCTGGGTTTTCTACGTTCTTACTGCTGAAGTACAAATGTCTGTGGGGAGATACGGCCCTCACTGCCCACCCCCCCCCACACCACCCCCCACCAGAGAGGCCACGAGCCACAGTTTGTCCCGAAGCGTCCAGGCCCTCTGAGCTCTCCTGAGCTTACAAGTCATTTTGTTTGATTCTTTTTCAGCTATGGCTTTGATCTCACCAGATTTTAGCCTCAACCTACTACTCGTTATAGTTATAGAACAGGAACACTCTTAATGGTATTCGGTTAGCCAGCATACGGGGCACTGTCTAGGTTGTGTGAGGTGAGTGGCATTGCCAAGCCTTTGGATCCGTCTGGCCTCTCAGAATGCTTCTGAAGAAACTACAGAGGGGAAAAAATGATATTTCATATTTGTACCATAGATCTGTGGTCCCCGACCTCCAGGCCATGGACCAGTACTGGTCTCACCCCTACACCTGTCCATGGAGAAACTGAAAATTGTCTTCCATGAAACTTAGGAAATTGGGGGGGGGGGGTGGTACATAGCCGGAGGAGAGTGGTGAGCGGTGGGTGAGCGAGGGAAGCTTCATCTGTATTTACAGCCATTCCCTGTCACTCACATCACCGCCTGAGCTCCGCCTCTTTCTACCCCCAACCCCCATCCGGGGAACATCGTGTTCCATGAAACTGGTCCCTGGTGCTGAAAAGGTTGGGGACTGCCACCATAGATGGTACAAGATATAAGGGCTCATAAAATGTTCTCATGTTTTGGGAAAAGAAAGATTGAACAAGTATTAAAAGCTTTAGCTATAAAGTAAATTTGGGAAGGAAAATCTGTTTGGACATATGAGCTTCTCTGCACGGTGACATTCACCAGTGTGCAGAGGGCAATGCTGTCCACCCCTGAGCCTGTTCCTGGTGGTCCTGGCCTGGCCACAGAAAATGTGATTCTAGTTTCTTTAATTCACAAGAGTGAAAGAAGGAAGTTCCACCCTTGACTCCTCTAGAATCTGTTCTCTCCCACCCCCGGCTTTTTCGTTCACTCCTGTCCCAGACGTGAGTCGAGCGAGCAACGGGGTCTGCTCAGCACTGCGGACAATGCTGAAATCCGTGCAGAGGTCGTCCTGCCCTGTGCCCTCCCCTCGCCCTCCCCCAGTGGCAGTCTCGTAGCAAATGGGACATGTGCCGTGGAGTCAGACGGAGCTGGCATTCTGACCCTCACTCTGGTCCTGGCAACGTTTCTTTTTGCTGCAGCTTTCTTGTCTGTAAGGTGGGTGTAACACTACTTGCTGTGTATGGCTGTTCTGAGATTAAATGAGGAAATGCACAATGACAGGGGCAGCATAGGTACTCAACAAATGCCACTGCCCTTCCCACCACCACCATTTTGGGAGCTTTACATTTAAGGACTCATATTTCAGGGACGTCTGTCTTGATCATTGAGCATTTGGCTTTCTATTTCATATATGGCTTCTCTGTTGGCAACAACATTGTATATGTCAGCATTGCCTTTTGGGAAGAACAGTTCCAGGTGCGGTGCTGTGCCTGCCTCCATTTACACAGGTGCCACGGGGTGAGCACAAACAGTAAACATCAACCAGTGGTCTCTGGAAATAGAGTCTGACTTTCCCTCGGCTGGGTCACAAGCACCGTTAGACAGGGACGTGGAGGAGGGTCTCAGACAGCCCGTGCCTGGCAAAGAGAGGAAGGAAGGAAGGGAATCCAGCTTTGGTAAAAGCCGTGACGCTCTTTAGTCCCTGGAGGCTTGCCTGGTCCTGCTCCTTGTTGTTTGCCTTCCCGGGGTTTGATGTCCACAACATCTGGCTCAAATGCTTGAGACCTGGAGTGAACTAGATGGGTCACGGCCTCCCGCCTGTTTCTTTCCTCTGTTTTTTTTTTAAACATACAAACCTCTTCAGAGAATGTAAAATCGACATGTTTGCCGTTTCCAGAGCAGCATCCTGTCCAGGTCTCAGTAGGTGGCTGTCGATCCCAAAGAGACCATGAAGCCAGAAAGCCGCATGCTAAGCCCAGCAGAGGTCCCACTATTGCACGGTCAGCCCGAAAACCCACCGGGCTCCTCCCGCAGGGGCATCCTCGGACTTCTGTGTGACGCTGGTGCTTGGCAACTGTGGAAAGTTGGTTGTCCCTGAGTCATGAAAACCAGAATGAAAAGGCATTATTATGGTCGCGTGTTGCTTTCAGCGAGCGGTCCTTCCCTGGGTAAATGTCACTGCAAAGCAGACTTGAGAACACGTCATCTTCCTGAAGGCCGGTACTTTAGGGGAAGTTCTGGGGTCTACCAGGGTCTCTGACTAGAGCTGAGAAGAGGCTTGATGGATGGAGCCTGGGTGGGGACTAGGGTTCCTGACATCCACGTTGCTCGGGTAAGCCATGTGTGTGACGTGGGATGCCAGCCTCCATTTCTCGATTTCTTTACCTGTAAAATGAGGCATTTGGCCAACCTCGTTGCTAAGGGCCAGGCTGCCTCGAACACACACTCGAAAAATCTAGATTAAAAGCTCAAATGAGATCATCGGCCATTCGCTTCCAAGCCCCTAAGGAAACTTCATGGGAAACGTTATGCCATATTCTACTACACATCTCCACCTACGTGTATCCTCTGAAACTTCTGCCCACACACTTTGAGAAGAATTCAGTAAAATCTCCCTCCCCTACTCCATTGTAATTTTATGCCTTGTTCTCCTTCACCCTTCCTCTTCTTTTAAGCTGCAAGTTGCTTCTGCTAGAAACAGCCTAAGTAACCTTCCCAGGGCATCAGAGTTGACTGCAGGGGTGCGGCCGCATCTGACTGTTTGGGCCGGGGGTGCTGGTTGGCGCCCACTGCGGCAGGAAGAACCAGTTCCTCTGCCGCGCCTTCACCTGCGCAGGCTGCCCTTCCCCCAGGACCAGAGTTAGGAGGGGCAGGGGGAGGACCTCCCCAGTGGGTGTGGGGAGATTGCAGGAAGGAGCCCTGTTCTTGCCCAATTCCTCTTACTGCCCCCAAACTGCTCAGAACACAGACCTAAGACTCAGTCGGGCCCTAACTGTGGCCCATGTCCGCACTCCCTCGCGAGGCCCCTCTCCAATGCTTGAAGCAGCCACTGCGTCAGACAACCCAAGCATTACAGCATCAGTGGGCTTTGGAACCTGATATTTCCTTGGGGAGAAGCTTTGCAAATCCAAGGAAGAAAACTTTGCTGGGGTCAGCAGGTGGGTGACAGGTCTGGGGATCTAAGAGGTAGAGGTGCACTGGAGTCCCCAGGTGGCCTGGGGACCTGCCTGGGAGTCTTCATTAGCCATCCTCTCCATGGGCCTGGATTTAAAGCTGGACTTCGGTTTCCTTATCAGTGTGTGCCCCTGTCCTGAAGGAGGAGCTGCTGTCCCCAGGAAGCCTTTGGACCCCTGCTTCTTCAGTGTGCTGGCACAGAGGCACTGAGCAGGCAGGGTTTTCTTCTCCCCTGGGAAGCCTCTGAAGTCGTGGGGAGAAAAATGTGGTAGCAGGAACCAGCCACAGACCAGCCACGTGGGTCTTTAAGATCTTACTTTGTTCTACTTGTAATTGGGGTTATGCATAGATGATGATGATGGTGGTGGTGCTGGTGACGGTGGCTCTTCCTTGACCAAATAAGTCTGGGAAATGCTGGGATATACAAAGGTAATCAGATGGGTTAATTTGACAATAGGATGTATCAGAGCCTTTGACAACTCTCCCATGGGGCAGACAGAAATTCCCTATTGTTTCGAAGCCTTTTTTTCATGCTGTTCTGTGGATGGATTTGGCCAACCCCAGCCCATTCCTGATACCAAAATGAGATATACTCCCAGCAGATTTGTGTAGTTTATTCTTATGTTGCTTACTTGAAAACCCAAAGACGGGTTTCCATCTTATCACAGTTCCCTCATATTCTTGACGTTTGATGAATACTGCTCTTCTTCCCCACAGAACATTGACATCACTAACTTCAGCAGCAGCTGGAGTGACGGCCTGGCCTTCTGTGCGCTGCTGCACACCTACCTGCCTGCCCACATCCCCTACCAGGAGCTGAACGGTCAGGAGAAAGTAAGTCATCCCCACTGTTGTACTTGGGGGAGGAGCCGGGGAATTCCTGGCGGTTACATCCCAGTCACAGAGGGCTTTGTAGACCTGGAGCAGAAGTTGGGATGTCGATACCAGGCACAGATAACTACTGAACAAGTGACTGCTCGTTGGAATCCCATCCTCAGCAAATGCTTCTCAGTTTCCCTTCTCAATAGCCCGTGTTTCCTAGAAAAAAGCAGTGAAGACAAGTTTCCTGTGGCCACTGGGAAATTCCTGTGGCTGCTTTCCAGAGAAAGCCCTGATGGAATCTCACCTTCACGGTTAAGAGCTTGGCCAGCATTTTTCCAAGTCTATTACAGAGAACCAGAAAGCACCACCAAAAAGAGTTTCCTGCTCAGATAAGCTTGGGAAACTATTTATTATTAATATATCACATTCTTAGAGAGCACAATGCACATAATACTTTAAAAACTTCAAGAAGTCCTACATTAGAGAAATAGACGAGACTTTGTTTAACTCAACAAATATCGGATCCACGTAACTTTTAACTTATTTATTTATTGTACTATAATCACCTATAGAAAGGGTTGGCAAACTTCCTAAGAGCCAAGCAGTAAGTTTTGTGGGTCAGTTGGTCTCTGTCACAACTCAACTCTACCATTGGGCTAAAGTGGCCATTGACAGTTTGTGAATGAATGGGCATGGCTGTGTACCAATAAAACTTTATTTACAAAAACAGGCAATTTTTTTTCTGTGAAGTGGGAAATTTATAATAAATTTTTTAAAATAAAAATAATTTTTTTAAAAAAACAGACAAATTTGGCCCAGATTTGGCTCATGGGCAGTAGTTTGCCAACCCCTGACCTAGAACATCCCACAAAATATTCCACAGAATGTACTTTGGAAAATGCTGTGCTAGACCCTGCCCTCAGCCACTCAACAAGAATTTCTTGCCAAGAATTATTTCGCGTACAGTGGCAAAGACAATAGTGGACAGCGAAGACATTCTGTGCCCTTGTGAGGCAGACAGACAGTAAGCAAGCAGGTAAACTTACAGCAGGTAGAATTATAAATGAACAGTTATAAGTCATGAAAGGGCCCTGAGAGAACGGTGCTGCGGGAGCGCATGTGGGGGTCTCACACAGATCGGGGAGGCTGAGAAGGTCTTTTAAAAGGTCATTCTGGCTGTCACGTGGAAGGGTGAACTGGAAGGGGAGCAAGAATGAAAGAGGAGCGGCTAGTTAGGTGGCTATTGCCGTAGTTAACAAGAGAGCCTTACCGCGGCCTTACCAGCTAACCCGGACTAGGGTGGTGGGAAAGATTCAGAACGTGTCTTAGATACGGCGGCAGCTGGACCCAGTGACAGAGTGGTTGTGGTGAGGAGAAGAGGAAGGAGGCAGGGACAGCTCCCAGGTGCCTAGTTTGACAGAGCGTCTTCTGAAATGGGGAGGGCATATTTTAAAGTTCTATTTTGATTCTCCCATATCAGAATTTAAATAAAGTCCAAAAAATGGTCATGGCAATGATAATAACCGAGCAAAGTGACTTGAGTTTTTAAGGTGTTAGGGTTGTCAACAGAAGTGAACCAGTAGGGCCTGTGTGTCTGTGCACGTGCATCTATCTGCTGCTTATCCAGACTGACACATAAAATTAACCATCTCACGGCGCACTAAAATCTTACAGCACTTTTGTGTAGGATGCTTTGTTTGTAATCTGTGAAGCAGGATGGACAGGATTAATAAATATTTTGGGGAAAAAAGTTGTGCCTAAGTCATGTTAAGTCTGAAATGTCTGTGAAGTATGCAGGTGGCAGTGTCAGGTGATTAAATGGCAAATCTGGAGTTCGGATGGGAGAGCAGAGCTGGAAAGGGAGTCATCCATGAATGGTCAGCACTGTCTGATGGAAGTTTCTGTATCTGTGCTGTTCAGACGACAGCCACCAACCACATGGGCTACTGAGCACTTTAAATGTGACTATTGTCACATTGTGACTAAAGAACTGAATTTTTAATTTCAATTTTAATTTTAATTAATTTTAACTTATATAGCCACGTGGCATGAGTGGCTGCCGTGCCAGACAGGGCGGGGACAGGTGGCATTTAAAGCCATCAGAGTGGAGGAGCACGCCCAGGCCCTTGGTCCTCGGGGAGCTGCAGAGGAGAGGGGTCGGTGTTTGCTGTGCAGGTAGAGGGAGGACCCAGCAGAGGGAAGGAGGAAGGAGCAGCCAGAGAGCCGGCGCCGTGTCCTGGGGGCCGAGAGCCGCAGCCAGCCTCATGGGTGTGACCCAGGCGTCCGTTCCCTCCGTTTGATTTTTTAGTCTCTGCCTTTCTGACACGACGTTGTGAAGGTAACTAAGCAAATAGTGGACATAAAACAATTCAAAACAAGCAGCAAAACCTTGCTAAAACCGTGATAAGTGTGGGCTCGCGCCCGTGCACGCACGTGTCTTCCTGAGAGCGCCATGTCTGTCACGCTCCCTGCACTCGTCCAAACTGACTGGCTGCTTTGTCCGGGAATCGGCACGGATCTGTTGGGGATAACGGGCGTCAGCGCTTGTGTTCAGGCTCTGAACCGTGAGCATTGCTCCCTGATGTCCAAAGCCTCTGTGTCTCCTCCGATCTGTGATTCCTGAGCACTGAGCCGCCAGCTGCCCAGCAGCCTCCCGCGGACGTGGCAACCTGTGGCAGGACAGGCAGGTGCCGTGGTGGACTGGTTTTCTGTTGCCCTTATGGGACAGGGGCCCCGATTTTCTCCACTAGGATTGGAGACTCTCCAAGTCTGTCCTACTGTTCCTGGGGAGCACGCCAGCTAGCATGTGGAAGATTGCAGGTCTGTGACAGAGTCGGCTCCGGAGGTCTGGAATTTTTCATTTGAAGTTCTATTTGGTTTCACGGTCACCTTGAGTTTGTGTCCCAGAGCCTAGGGCTCTTGTTAGTTACCTCCTGCGGCCTGCTCCCGGAAGGGACGGCTGGCCTCCTGCTCCCTGGATGTCCTATCCTGGCTGCGCTCCCTGGGACAGTGGCTGCAGGACAGGCCGTGCCCACTCAGTGTGTGGCTTGCCCTGGGGGACACCTTTGTTCTGTTTGGTGAGAGAGGTCTTATCTAGTACAGTGACGGATGAGGGTTTTCAAAATAATGTGCCAAGGGAGGCAGATCTCTGCGGCATAAAACTGAGCAGTGTGTGCAACTCAGAGTGGGGATCTCACTCGAGGCAGGGGGATGAAAGGGGAGTTTTCTTAAAAGCAGCAGCATGTTAGAAGTTGGGTTTCAAAGGGAAGAAGCTAACTTGAGTTCAGCGTGCACCTGAGACTTCGTTAGGGTGAGTGGAGCATCACGTCCAGCCCCTAACCTGGGGCCACGTTCCAGTAAGCTCTGTGGGCGGTGGGGGGCGGGGAGGGAGGGTTTTCTTTTGTTTTTTGTTTGTTTGTTTGTTTTGGGGGGATGTACACATACATCAAAAAGGGCACCAAGAGAGGCCTCTAATGTTTGTAAAAATCTATTAAAATAAAAATCTAAGAATTGTACCATGTAGCTATAGATAGCTCAGAAAGTTCAAAACTCATGCTGCCCCCTGGATGGAAGTAATTGAACCAAGTAACTTTGACATTGGTGTTAAATAGGGTATTTTGGATAAAAACTAGCAAGGATGTCTTCTATAATAGTAAAGAGATATACCATCACAGGGTGTGAGTTACAAGTTAGTGGACGGTTTTGGCATTTTTTGTTTTTTGGGTTTTTTTTCCAATAACAATGTCAGGGTGGAGTGCTGGTGCACAGCTAGTGCATGTGGGTTTTGAGAAAGATTCTCCAGACAAAGTTTAGCACAGAAAGAAGACGTTTGTTTTACTTTTCCCAAGCAGAAAAGGGCCAGCATGGTGAAAGAGGAAGAGGAAGAGTGTGCTGGGAGAGAATGAGGTATTCCGGCTTTTTATTTAGGAATTGTAAAAAGGGGTGCGGATGATTTATGGTTGTAGTCAAGTTAACAGGGTGCTGTGAACGCTGATGCTCCTCTTAGCAGCAGGCAGGTAACAGAAGCCGGTAACAGAAGGACAGACGGGTTTATCGCTGACGTTGAGGTCTTGTGTTGATTCTGCCCCTGGGGAAGAGCCTGGCGCCTGTAGCAGGCACCCCTGCTCGTCTGTTCAGGAACTCCCCAAGGCTGCAAAACAGTATCGCAAAGGCAGTTTTAAAGAGAAAGATTTATATTTCCTTTCTGTCTGTTCAGGCTCTTTTCAGATGTTGTGAAAGCCTGCCAGCTAGTCAGCTATTGAGAGAAAGAGCAGAGAGCAGGGAGAGAGCTCATGACTGATCTTTAGCTGTTATTAGGAAATTGCAGGATTAGATAGTTTCCTGCTATTTCAGCAAGGCCGCCCCTTTCAAAAAAGATAACACATTTATCTGTTAGCCTATGAAACTGTCCACTTAAACAGGTTCAGATGGTAGAATAGAATAGAATATTTATGTCGGTGTCTGAAATGATACATGAATGTCGGGGGAGAAAGTCTGGAAAGAGAAAGTCTTTTCTCCCATCGGTTTTGGGTCAGAGGCCTTACTGGCACAACCCCGCCAGCCCGGCCAGCAACAGAGTTCTGCCATGGGTCGGGCACTTACACTGGAACCAGAAGGCCCTCACCTTCCTCCCCCACCAGGGTAGAAACCGAAGCAGTGACAGCCGCTCACCTGTCCCGTACCCTGTGTGCCAAACTGCAGCTGAAGCTCACAGAGCGAGGCCCTCTGAGCGTCTGTGTGTCTGCACTTCTGCCCCTCACGGCCTCTGTGCGGTGGCAGCAACGGAGCTCAAATGAGAGAGCATTAGGATGACGACCCTCAGTCACTGATGTTCTGCTGCTGCCAAAATGAGTAAAAGTCATTGTTGAGAACCAAAAACCACCCCCTCTCTATAGCGTTCATGTTATACTGTATACTGTCTCGGAGTATTGTGAGACAATTTTTCAGCACAAACTATCTCTTCTATATTTAAAATCTGCTTAGGAAACACAAGCAGTTTCATTGGAATCAGACCAGGGTCTTGGGGGAATTCTGTGTAAAACATTTGGTTTAGAAATGTCTTCTCCTTAAACCTTTCTAGTAATCAAAGAATACAAATTAAAACAATAAAATATTTTTAGCCTGACACATTTGGCAGAGACTTTTGGAAATCATAATATTCTATGCAGATGAGAATGTTGCTGCCCACCAGGTTTGCCCACTGCCCAAGATGAAGCCAGTACACCGAGACAGCATGGTTTACCATAGAGAAAGAGTTTTTATGCCGCACATTGCTAAGTAGGGAGAATTTCTCAAATCCACCTCCCTGAGAATTTGGGAGACAGGGTTTTTAAAGACAGTTTGGCATAGGCAATCGAGTCTACAATTGGTTGGGGTTGGGGCGGAACCATAGGGTTGTAGAAATTGTCCTCTTTGCTGACCAGGTTCTTGGGTGGGGTCACAAGACCAACGGAGTCAGTTCCTCAGTACGGGCCACTGGTCTCGGTGGGTCAGCCCTTCCGCTGGGATGCGGGGCCTGGAAGATACCTCAGAAACTACCCCTAGGTTTCAAAAAGGTGATGCTATCTATGGAGAAAGCTAAGAATCTTTATGACCACCAGCTATGTGCCTCCAGAGTGGCAATTATAGAGAAGGAAGCAGGGGGACAGTGGCTAATTATTATCATTATTTTTAGCTAGGCCTGTGCCTTATTTTTAGCTGGGCCCTTACCACAGTTCTTGCCTTGCACCCGTTATCAATCTGTAAAGGTGGTGTCAAGAGTATGAGGAAATAGGCACTTACGCGCTATTGCTGGAACCAAAAATTGGTGTCACATTTTAGAAAGCAATTTGTCATTACACATCAAAAGCCATGAAAATGTTTGTATCTTTGGTAGCCTAAAAGCTGGCTTACAAACCCCATCCCTCCCCCAAAACTAACCAAAAGGATTTTAAAATAAGGACAAAGGCACCATTAGCACCGTAGCAGGAGATTACTGCTGCTAGTTTGGGCTAGGTGGAAGGAAGCCAGGAGCCAATTCACAGTTCCTCTCAACAGAACAGAGAAGTGTCATGGAAACAAGCGTGAGGTTTCCGTCCATCCCCATTAATTTCCTTTAGTGTCAAGGAAGAGGCCTGGTGGCCTGGGCCGGATCACCACAGATCAACAACTTCCTGAGACCTTGACCTCAGACTGCAAGAAAATGTAACAGCCTTGTCTTTCCGCTTTTCTCTGACCTGGTTCCTCGAGCAGAGTTTGCTTCGGTGTCTGGACAAACCCTCTGGCCTTCAGGCTCCAGATGTGGCAGAGAGTGAAAGCCATGAAGAAAGTGGAAAGGGGTGTTACATGATATACAAAACCTAAAAAAAATTATGTCTAAAATTAAGAAATTCTATAGGGGATATATGTAGAAAAACAGAAAAATACCTGTCTCTCAATTATATACTTAAGGTACGAATTTAATTAAAGTTTAATATAACCCTAATGGCTTTGTTGTGAATTACGGAGGGGGAGGCATGACTAAACGATTTACAGGTTCATCTGGACGAACAAACATCAGGGAACAGCCAGGGGGAGTCTCTAAAAGAAGCTACACACCGGGGCTGACCTTCTGTGGAGGAGTGCTGTTAACATTCTGAGGGAAAATTATTTTCAGCCTAGAATTCTCTGTTCAGGCAGACTGTCAATCAAGTGTGATGGTAGAAAATGGAACTTTTCACATCTGAATTCATCCAGAAATGTATCTCCCACATCCTTTGTTAAGAAGGTGACAACCCAAAATAAGTGACCAGGCAAAGATTTCAATCAATGGAGGTATATTAAGCCAGAGTTTGAGGACACGTGGTGGGGAGGTGGGGAAACACAAGCCACAGACACATCGTGAATGTGGGAGCTTCATTATTTAAGGGGAAGGGGCGCCTGTACAGAAAGAAAAAGAAGGAGGGGGTGGGCTCTGAGGAAAATGGTTACATTCTTTTGCAGCCCAGGAAATTTGCCTTTTACATATGATAAGGCCAAGGTTAGAAGAGAAAAAGGGATTGAAGAAAGAATCCATTATGTAGATGTCCCTGGGTAAGTTGAAGAATGATTGATCTTGTCCTGTCTCTGCTCTGCACCTGGGAAGATAAACTTGTAATGAACATATTACTGTGGAATTGAACAGACTTTAGTTTTAGGAGCTAGACTTAGTCTGCAGACCCAAAATTACAATTTGCATGTCCTTTGTTATGGGAGGCCAGCAAGGAATTTCCTTAGGAAAGAGCTGTGGGGGCATTTCTTTTTTTTTAAGGCATGCCCTTCCCCCTACAATGCTCCCTGTGTCCTTTAGTTGTGAGCTTACCCCCCCATCCCCCTAATCCCTGGAGAGTATTACTGCCATGTGAGCACCATAGTGTTCATCAGTTAGTACCAATCTGATGGTGAGTACAAGTGGAGCCCGAGTGCGGGCATTTCTTATAGATGCCTGAGGCCTTTGCCTTTCCCAGGGGGAATCTGGCTAATGCATGATGTTAGTGACAGTTACTCCCTTGGAAGGGGTGTTGCACAACTGGCCTCCAGGCTTGACCTTCCCTTTTGCATAAGGAGTTTCGAGGTGGTCCAGAGATTTCCATTTTCCTTTACAAAGGAAACCTAGGCATATACTGTAGCAAAACAGGTATAATGCAAAAATCCATGCAAGGCGCTGGGTGGCTCTGGGCTGAAAGAGTTTTATAGAATGATGAGATGATTAAGATCTTGAGGCTGTGTGGATGGAGAAAATGAGAAGCTGTGCAGAGAAGTTATGGTCCAAACATGAGGCAGGCCCTCCCTGTCAGAACGGAAAGTTGGTGGCTGCAAGAAGAAGCTTGTGCATTGTAAGCACTAGTCAGAACGGGTGAGAAGCCAGATGAGAAGGAGGCATAAAATTCTTCTCCCAGTAAGAAAAATCCAAAACAAGTGGAAACTGTAGGAAAAAAAACCAAACGTTTGAAGAAATGCAAGGTACAAATCTGGAGCAGGCTAAAACGCGGTGTGATTCTGAGCTATTGGCAGAGTAACAACAGGAGGGTCCTGGCACAGAACCGTGAGCGGCACAGGACGCAGCGCGGCTAGAGGAGGCGGAGGGCGCTCGCGCCGCGCGGGTGCTGCTTATTCTCAGCTTCCAGGGTCACGCTGGTAGCACAGAAGACTTACATGTTCTTCTAGAAAAGGAAGCAGATGATCTCAGTTTTAGCAATTTAAAAGTAAAACTTGACACGGTAGAGGAAAGATGGGGGAACTTTCTCCTTACACAAAGCAGAGTTGGGAAGTGCTGTCCATAACTGATGGAACAAGAAATAGAAGTTTAAGAATATTATTTAAGGTCATAAACATAACTAATAAGGGAACTAAAATTAGCTGTATGACTATAATGAACGGAGGAGAGAGATGCATGGTACCTAAGTCCTTATTTGTCTTGGAGGAAGTCAGCAGAAAATGCATTTGTTTTAGAAATCAAGAAATAGTTGTGTAAGCATATTACCAAGATATGGAGGTAATCTAATCGCTATAACTAAAGAGAAAATTGAAAAGTGGTTCTCCTAAGGACCAGGATTGGGGGAAAGAACAGCTTTTCATAGGATTATATTGAACTATAGATAGATATAGATGGGTAGATAGATATACACACACACACTCTACTTTGATAATTTTCCTGATATAACACCATGATCAAGCAACTTTGTTACACAACAGAATGTGTATGTCATAAACCTTAACAAAGTAAAAAATTACCTAAGAAATATTTATCTTTGATAGTTATCAGTCAGTATTGTAATTTTTAGTGGCAATTGTAACCAGTTAATCTTTTTTTCCTTAAACTGAAGCCATTGTTTGTATATTTGACTTACTATTATTTATATAATACTAGTAGATAGTCTATATGAGAGTGTCAATTGATGTTCTTTCCTAGCAAAAGTTATATATTTTAAATTGATGATTCCAATCTCTTTGTCTTTTTAACTTAGAAGAAGAATCTCTTGTTGGCATTTGAAGCAGCTGAAAGTGTGGGCATCAGGCCCAGCCTGGTAAGTGCTCTATTTTGTATCCCGTGTGATGCTTTATTCTAATTATACGAGAAAGAACTTTATACTGTCTGCTAAACAATTTCTTATAGAACATTGAGATCCATTTGCTGAAGATCTATTACTTATGACACCTAATTTAAAGTTACTTGATTGATCTAATCAGACATGATTTGGTGTTTTTTTCAATTAACATTTCATTATGAATAAATTTCAGTTCTGGAAACACAGACTGAATTATCATTAAAGGCCTCTTGTTCAAATCACCTAGAAATCTAAATAAAATGTAATTTTAAAAAATCAATACATAGCTGAGCTCTCAGGAAGGAATGGAAAATAACCAGATGCCAGAAATTTTCAAAGAGGTAAAACAGAGCCAAAAGGCATGAGCTGAGACTGTGGAAACCCCAGGGGGTGGAGTGCGGATGATGGTATAGGGCTCATAATAAAGGATGCCTAATGGGTGCAGGCCCCATGGCTACAGGCTTTATTTAATGCCCACACAGGAGCAAGAGACAAGGCCCTGCGCTCCCATTAGCAGAGCGTTAGTACTGAGGTTCCCACATAAAGCCAAGGCACACAACAGGCTGTTCTTAGTGAAAGTGGAAATTTAAAAAACTCCACCTGCCAGTCCAGGGAGGTAGTAAGGAAGCTTGTCTCCAACTTGGATTTTTTTGTGGGCAAAAAAGAAAGGAGATCTCTTATAAGAAAAGAAAACAGGGCCAGATGAGGCTTGGAGTCCAAATTTATAATATCCATGCTACATGAAGCCCTTAGCTTATATTCTCTGGTGCAAGAAGCTCCTGGGCTGGTAATACAATGGCTGCTGGAAATATGCTCACAAGCCAAAATTATAAAACACTCAAGAAAATAATCTATTTGATCTAGTCAGCAGATAAAACAAACAAGAAGATTATCTATCAGAATAATAACAAGAAAGAGACTACAAAAAGACTGTGTTTAAACATATTAAAGAGATAAAAGGAAGAATAGAAAACATAAGGAAGAAAGATGATACCATCAAAAAAGAAAATTTGGAATTAAAAACACAATGAGATGACTTGCCAAACTGATTAGATACAGCAGAAGAGAGAACTACTAAACTGGAAAATAAATATAAAGAAATTACCCAGAATATAAAAGAGACATTAAAAAATAGAAGATATAATAGAGAGGTTTTATTAGTATGTGTTTGTCTTCAATAATGGAAAACTTAACTAACAATTGCTTAAACCATAAAGATGTTAATTTTTTTAAACAAGAAGTCCAAAAGTAGTTTCCAGACTGATTCACTGCTTAATGCTGAAATCAAGGAACTCAGAGTATGTTTTTTCTACACTCCCCCATCTTTAATTTATTGGCTTTTTGTCCCCACACTTGTTCTTTTGTGGTTGAATGTGGCTCCCAAGCTTGCGACATCAATTCCACATGCACAGCAGGAAGAAGGGGCAAGGGAGAGCAACTGCCTCACCTCTTTCCCCTTTGGCAAGAAAGGTAAAAGGCTCCGGGTCCCTAGCGCTCTTCCAGCTAATTGGCAGCACTCTGTGTATGCGGCCACCCCAGCTGCAAGGGCATTTGAGAAAGTGAGTGTGTAACATTTTCATCTTCTTCAGTGGGAAGCCTGCAAGGGAGAGAGAGGTTGGGAATGACTGTTGGGTTAACCAAGTCATAGTGTCTCTCACAGAGCTTAAGAGACATGGAAGAGAAAATCAGACAATGTCCCTGTCCAATGTGCAGTGGGAATTCCAGAAGAAGGGGATAGACAGGATGAACTAGAGACAGTCTTTGAAGATATGGTACCTGTAATTTGTCCAGAATGATGAAAGAGTCCACAGATTTGAATCTCAAGCAGGATGAATAAAAGAAAATATCCATCCAGACACAGCATAAGGAAACTGCAGAAAAAGCAAAGACAACACAGACAACCTATAAAAAAATTTCTGCTCACCATTAATAGAAAGACAACCTAGTAAGAAATTATCAAAGGCTAGAATAGGCCAGTCACAGAAGAGGATCACAAATGGCCAATAAACATTTTGAAGATGTTCAATCTGATTAATGATCAGGAATATCTAACCTGAAATAACAGTGAGATACAATTTCATAACCCTCAGAGGATGTGGGGAATCTGAGAAATGAAAAAGTGAAAGTATAGCTGTCATGGAAATCTTAGTACTATGAGCAATGTTATGCAAATACAATTTTGAAACAGTTTTCTAGAAAAACATCAACATATTTCTTCAAATATTAAATGTAAATATTTCTCCAGAACTCACTCAAAAAGAAACAAAACTTTAACCATCAAAGAGGTTGAATTTGCCAGGGTAGTGGCTCACTCCTGTAATCCAGGAGTTTGAGACCAGCCTGGGCAACATATTGAGACCCTGTCTCTCCAAAAAAAATTTTTTTTTCGTTAGCTGGGCATGGTAGCACACACCTGTAGTCCTAGCTACTTGAGAGGCTGAGGCAGGAGGATTGCTTGAGGCCAGGGGTTCAAGACCAACCTGAGCAACATAGACCCCCCCATATCTAAAAAAAAAAGTAGTAAATAAAAAAATTGTTTAAAATGTAGTCTCACACAAAAAAAAGTCCCAATAAGCCCAAATTCTTCTGTATCTTTAAGAAATAGATATCCCTATCATGTATACACAAGTCCAGAGAATTTAAAAAGGAGCAAGGGAATTTACACATCTGATCCGGGTGGAGTGACAGGGACCTCCCTCCCGAAACAATGGCATGACTAACACGTACCAACAGAGTTCATGTAAGGATCAAAGATAGAATGAGAACTTGTTAGAAGATTATATTAATATTATACACAGGATACATTTTTCTTTGTAGTATTGTAGTTAATATTTACTTCTGTTTAAATATTTTTTTCTAATTTTCATCTGGTGTTCTGTAGAGGTTAGTGAGCTGGGAAGCGAATGAGATCACCCTGTCCTAATTGTCAGAGCCAGTGAGTGCTTTCGTAGCACATGGTCTGTGAGGAGCCGCTGACACCACATAATGAATCTCAAAAGCGTTTTAGGAATGTTTGTGACAAATTTAACCAGTTTATACCATCAACAGAATAGAAATTTCCTGCATTCTTAAATTTACTTTTCAATATCTTGATGTGGATTGAAAACTAATACATCGAATTACACATGACACTTTTAAACTGCACCCAGTCAAAAGTGACAGTAGTGATAATTCCCAATCTTTGATCTCGTTCCATTGCTGGAGTCTGCAGGGAGACTTTTCGCTTATATGTGTACATTCAAGTAGATGCAAGTTTCTGGGCATAGCATATTAGCAAGGATAAGATCTTTAAAAAGTGAAGCTCTGCAGTGTTCCCCAAATTTCAGAGAGCGTTCCACCTCAACCACCATGTAATGAGAGAGTCTTAGCCCACCGTATCGCAAGTGTGAGCAGCTCCCTTCAGGAAGAATCAGGTGAGAAAGGATATGTGGCACACGCCATTACCATGAAAAGCAGCCAGAGCCTGGGTGCGATGGCTCACGGCTGTAATCCCAGCATTTTGGGAGGCCAGGGCAGGAGGATCGCTTGAGATCAGGAGTTCGAGACCAGCCTGGGCAACATAGCAGCCCTCATCTGTACAAAAAACAAAAAAATTCATGGTGGTGTGCACCTACAGTCCCAGCTACTCGAGAGGCTGAGGCAAGAGGATCGCTTGACCCCAGGAGTTTGAGGCTGCAGTGAGCTATGATGATGCCACTGCACTCCAGCCTGGGCGACACAGTGGGACGCTGTCTCAAAACAAAAACAAGAAAACAATCAGAATGTCTGTCCTCCAGGGCTGCTGTGCCTGTGTCTTAGTATGGGGACACTGCCACACCAGGCCATTGACCACTGAGGAAGCCAGAGTGCCCGCTGGGACAGTCCCTGCACATGCAGGCCAAGTTCCTAAGGTGCCCTGTGGAGGGAGGTCATCACAGCTCAGGATTTCATGAAACTATCAGAGTGATTCCCGGGCCTACGCTGCAGGGAAGACTTGATAAAGTATACTTAAATGGTTAATTTGAGCTTAACTACATGAAAAACATTTTTTTCACATTTACCATGTGCCAGGCACCATTCTGGGCATTTTCCACGTCCAGACTCATCGGACCCTCATTGGACCTTCTTTGGAGCAAGAAGCTCTTTTTTTTTTTTTTTTTTGAGACAGAGTCCCACTGCGTTGCCCAGGCTAGAGTGCCATGGTGTCTAAGCTATATCTTTTTTTGAATTGTTTTTTATTATGGTAAAATACGTGTAAGGTTCACCATCTTAACAATTTTTAGTTTACAGTTTAGTGGCATTAAGTACATTCGTGCCGTTGTGCAGCCATCACCCTCCATGTCCAGAACTCTTTTCATCTCCTCAGCCTGAATCTCTGCACCCATTGAACATGTCTGCCCCTCCCTGCCCTCCCCCAGGCCCTGGCAGCCACCAGTCTGCTTTCTGTCCATGTGAGTTTGCTCCAGCTGCCTCATATGCGAGGAATCACACAGTGTTTGTCTTTTGTGACTGGCTTATTTCGCTTAGCACAGTGTCCTCGGGTTCATCCGTATTTAGCAAGGCTGCACAGTATCCCGTTTTACACACACACACCCACCCCACATTTTGTTCATCCATCATCAGCCAATATTTTACAAACCACGTTCATTTTCACCCTGGCTGGCATCTTTTTCTCTTCCATTTTGCTTGTTCTGCCTTCAGTATCCCATGGATCGGGTGCTACCCCATGCTAAGCCATCCCACGGTTATCCACACCAAGCCACACTAGAGAGTCTTTCCCTCTATCAGTTGAGGTACCAGTTACAAGGGTCTACAGTCTCTGTCTACAGGTACTCAGAGTTAGCCCTTAAGTTCAGAATCAGCTTCATAGGTGCAGTAGAAGCTTGCTTCTCCTTGCCAGATTAATGCTGTAGAAGGTTCTTGAAAGACACACATGGCAACTGTCACAGCAGGTTGTAAACAGGAAGGGGCCCATGGGGGCTTCTGGGATGCATTGTGCTACTTCTTGATCCAGGTAGTGATTACATATTCTAATATTTGCTTTATAATAATTCACTAAATGATGGATTTTTATTTTATATTCATTTTTGTATGTAATGGTTCACAATGAAAAGATTTGTAAAAAAGGTTGGAAGCAATTGTAAACATCTAGATGGATTCTGCAGTCAGTTTGCTTCACAAATTTCCTTAAATTTTGCTCCACTTTAAAAAAACAAAAACAAATTAGGACCTTCTAGACCCCTGTGTCTAGGACTGGCTTTTGCAAGTAAGATACCTTCATGCCCCCGGCCTTGGGCCAGGCTCAAATTGAAGGCCAGAACTCACTAGATGGGCAAATAAGTATAGTAGTGTGTTTCAAGTTAAAATGAAAAACATAAGATGCGTTATCATTTTTTATGATTATCCATGTTAGGTTGTATTTTTATTTAGATACACACATATGCAGGAACTTTACTAAATTCATCTCTTCTCTTATGTGAATAGGGCTAGCCAAGCCTTTAGCAAAAATTTTACCGAGAAAGGCCTACTTTAGCATTAAATAGGGGGAAGAAAGCATCTTCTAGGTTGAATCCTACCCGGAGACCCTCCCCATTATCGATTCTTCGCAAATGCTTCCAGGATCCCACTGGGAAGCACGGCCTCGCCCTGTTACAACTTTGGCGCCCCACTTGCTGCCTCCCTATATGTTTGCTGTTTCTTGTATGGAAAATTATTGAGTGAATTAATATCTTCTGGCAGAATTTGTGTTCACACCACAAAAATTATCCCATAAATGGCCAGGTTCGGCGCTGCGAAACTTAAGCGCAGCTACTCGAGAGGCTGAGGTGGGAGGGTTGCAGGGGAAACCAGCAGGTTGCCTGAGGAGGGGTGAACCAGCCCAGGTTAGAATTGAACAAGTCAAAATACCTGTGCTGATCAGTAATGGGATTGAGCCTGTAAATAGCCACTGCACTCCAGCCTGGGCAATGCAGCAAGACCCTTTCTTAAAAAAAAGAAAAAGCAAAAATGATCTCATAAATGATATGACTTCTTGCGGTAGTTGTGGTTTTAGTTGTAAACAGTAAGAGTTCACAAGTAAGAGAGTTCCTGTTGCCCCCGCATCCTTGCCAGGATTTGGTATGGCCATTTTTTTAGATTTTAGCTATTCTAATATGTACATAAGAATATCTCGTTTTACTTGGCATTTCCTTCCTGCAGACGATGCTGAGCTTGTGTTCAGGTGTGTTTTTGCCAGTTCATTTTCTTCTGCCAAGTGTCCATTCAGAGCCTTTGCTCATTTTTTAATCTGATTGTTTTCTTATTGTTGAATTTTAGGAACTTTTTTGTATATTCTGGATATAAGCCCTTTGTCATATATGTGATTCTCAGATATTTTCTCCCAGTCTGTGGCTTTGTCTTTTTATTCTCTTAACAGTATCTTTCTCTGTTTTAAATTTTGATAAAATCCAATAGTTTTCTCTTTCTCGACATTTCCCATGCTCGCAGTGTGGTATCTAAAATCTTACTGCTAAACCCAAGGTCACACAGATTTTCTGCTATATTTTTCCCCAGAACTTTTATAATTTTGCATTTTACATTTAAGTCTGTGATCCATTTCAAATTAATGTTTGTGTAAGCTATAAAGTATGGGTTTAGGGCTTTTTTTTTTCTTTTTTGCATATGGGCATCCAGTTGTTTCAGCACCATTTGTTGAAAAGACTGTCCTTTCTCTGTGGAATTACATTTTCACCTCCGTCAAAAATCAGTTGACTATATTTGTGTGGTTCCATTTCTGGACTCTGTTTTGTTTCATTGATCTAAGTGTCCCTTACCAACAGCACACTGTCTTGATTAATATAGCTTCATTAGAAATCTTGAAATCTAGTCCTCTAACTTTGTTCTTCTTTTCAGAATTGTTTTGGCTATTCTAGTACCTTTGCCTTTTTAAATTTTAGAATCAGTTTGTCAATATCCACAAAAAAGTTTGCTTGGATTTTGATTGAGATTACATTGTATCTATAGATCAAACTGGGAAGAGCTGACATTTTAACAGCGTTCACTCTTTCAATCCATGAACACAGAATATAATCCCCACTTGTTTAGATCTTCGATTTCTTTTCTTTTTGAGACAGAGTCTCACTCTGTTGCCCGGGCTAGAGTGCCGTGGCTTCAGCCTAGCTCACAGCAACCTCCAACTCCTGGGCTCAAGCGATCGTACTGCCTCAGCCTCCCGAGTAGCTGGGACTACAGGCATGCGCCACCATGCCCGGCTAATTTTTTCTATATATA